GCAGTGTCTTAGAAATGAGTGTTTATCCATTCAGAAGCAAAATGTAAAAAGAAGTTATTCAAGCATTCAACTGACAAATTAAAAACCGGTAAATTGCATTAAAGGGATGTTTTCAGTCTCAAGAACAGCTTCCCAGCAATGTTCAGCGTTCATTATTCGCAGCGGAACTGCACAGGATCTTCTCTGCTGGAATGCTCCTTAATGGTGTCCAAGAAATGCCTTTGTAATTGCTATGCGATTTGACAGTCTGATTGCATTCAGTTTCCAGAATTCTGCAGGGCTGCCAGAGAAGCCGGCACAAGAGGCTGACAGATAAAGTGACAGTTCCCTCCTCACTGCTGTTCCAAGAAACTTAGGAAGATCACATTACAACTTTCAGTCCAGAGGCTTGCATGATCCAGGTTAGATCCATGCTGATTAAGTTTTTTGATGGCTTTTTGCTGTTTTCTTTTTAGTATTAGTTTCATAGAATCATAGAGTTGGAAGAGACCACAAAGACCATCCAGTCCAACCCCCCTGCCATGCAGTAACTCTCAATCAAATCATACCCAATAGATGGCCATCCAGCCTCTGTTTAAAAACTTCCAAAGGAGACTCTACCACTCTCCAAGGGAGTGTGTTCCACTGTCCAATAGCTTTCACTGTCAGGAAGTTCCTCCTAATGTTTAAATTGAATCTCTTTTCCTGCAGTTTGCATCCAGTTTCATGTTCTAGCCTCTTGAGCAGCAGAAAACAAGCTTGCTCCATCTTCAATGTGACACCCCTTCAAATACTTAAACAGGGCTATCATATCACAACTCTTAACCATCTCTTCTCCCAGCTCCCTAAGTCCTTCCTCATAAGGCATGGTTTCCAGACCCTTCACCATTTTGGTTACCCTCTTCTGGACACGCTGTAATTTGTCAACATCCTTTTTGAATTGTGGTGCCCAGAACTGGACACACTATTCCAGGTGAGGTCTGACCAAAGCAGACTAGAGTGGCACTATTACTATCCTTGATCTAGACACTACACCTCTATTGATACAGCCTAAAATCACATTGGCCTTTATAGCTTCCGCATCACATTGTTGATTCATGTTCAACTTGTGTTCTACTAGGATAGGACTCCTAGATCCCTTTCAAACATAGTCACATTAAGCCAGTTGTCCCCCATCCTATATCTGTGCATTTCATTTTTTCTGTTCTAAGTGTAGTACCTTACATTTCTCTGTGTTGAAATTCGTTAGCTTTGGCCCAGCTTTCTAATCTATTAAGGTCTTCTTGAATTTTGATCCTGTCCTCTGGGGTATTAGCTACTCCTCCTAATTTGGTGTCATCTAGAATTTTGATAAGCATACCTTCTATTCCTTTATCCAAGTCATTGATAAAGATGTGGAATAGCACTGGGCCCAGGACAGAACCCTGTGGCATTCACTGGTCACTTCTCTCCAGGATGAAGAGGAGCCATTGCTGAGCACCCTTTGGGTTCAGCCGGTCAACCAATTACAAATCTATTTAACAGTTGCATTGTCTAGCCCACATTTTACAAGCTTGTCTGCAAGAATATTGTGGGGGACCTTGTCAAAAGCCTTACTGAAATCAAGATATGCTATGTCTACCACATTTCATCATTCATCTAGCAAGCTGGTAATTTTTATCAAAAAAGGAGATCAGATTAGTCTGGCATGACTTGTTTCTCAGAAATCCATGTTGACTTTTGTGACAATGGCATTGCTTTTTAAATGTTCACAGACGCTGTTTAATGATTTGCTCTAGAATCTTTCCTGGTATTGATGTCAGACTGACTGGACGATAATTGTTGGGATCCTGTTTTTTCCCCTTTTTGAAGATGGGGACAATGTTTGCCCTCCTCCAGTCTGCTGGGACCTCTCCTGTTCTCCAGGCGTTCTCAAAAATTATTGCTAATGGCTGTGAGATTACATTTGCCAGTTCTTTTAATACCCTTGGATGTAGTTAATCTGGTCATGGAGACTTAAATTCATTTAGATTAACCAGGTATTCCTGTACTTCCTCTTTACTTATTCTGTGCAGCATTTCTCCTACTGTGTCCGCTGCTCCATCTTCCTCAGGCTGAGTACCCTTTTCCTTTTTTGAGAAGACTGAGGCAAAGGTTTGGTAAATACTAAAACTGTGTTACTAATATTCTGCCAAATGGACTTTGCTTCTGAGTTGAGACTGGATCAAAGCAAAAAACAGGTGAAAAAAACATTAAGCACTTAAAACAAATAACACCTTATTTGCACTTAAGGTTACTGCTTTGGGAGCATTCTAGGCCCTGAGGTTTGGGGGGCAAAACCTAAGACCAACCACTATTACTCATAGTTTGTTATTCACACATATCCAAAGAGAATATTTTGAAATTTGTTTGGAAAGTAAGACTGAAATATTAGCTAAAGGGGTTGCTCACAGAGCAAGTAGAAATGAAAGGATTATTCCTTCTCACTTACTTAGTCAGGGTAAAGAACATATTACCTGTTTGCTTCTAGCCTGAAGATGGATGTAGAGCAGAGAGTGAGCCTTGGTGCAACTAACACTGGAGAAAGGAGGAAGCTAAATAAATACAGATAAACTTTTTGCAAGTTTCAGCAAGAAATCAGCTTGCAGATTGTAGCAATCTGCTGCTTTAATAGCTGAGCTGGAGATTTTTTTTTCCACATGTCTTTCCTTTTGCCTGGAGCTGAGTCCACCATAACTAGAAAATTTGCACCCTTGTTTCCTACTTGGAGATGGCTGATGAAAGCTGGAGACAGGGCAGGACCCTGAAATCTGGCAACACTGCTTGAAGTTCTCTTGAGCAATTTGACTTTTTTTGATTTCTCACAACTTAGTCCTAGGAATGTTTTTTGTCAGGAGCGTAAGTCTTTGTATATTTTGTTTACAATGGGGGCTTGCTGTCTGCAGATGCTTAAATCCACAGATGTCAAGTTTGCGGATAACGAGGCCCTGCTACATATTTAATATACTTTGGGAATTCCTGAAGGGCTAAATCTATCAGTGCAAAGTCCATTGAAATGTATAGCAAAGCGCAGCTTGGAGGCCATAAAACTCTAAAAGATAACTCCTGGCAAACTAGAAGAGCAATCCTTTTTGAAAGAAATGTCTCAGTTTCTTACATTTTTAGCCTTTGCTGCTCTCTTCCCATGAAAGGAAACAACCCCATAACTTTCAAAAAAACAACTGTAATTCCTCTTATATTGCACATTCAGCTAACCTCTGAGCCAACTTATTCCACAGCTGTCATAACAAACTTACTGCTGGATGCTACTAACTGTATTAGACTCCCTTGTGTAGCATGCAAGTTTCTTTCTTTTTACCCTGGGGCCTTGAAAGTCTAATCCGATATTATCCAAGCCACCTCATGTATTCCTAGGTATGTGCTTTCCTGTATTCCTTGGAGGAAAATCAAACACATAGGAAATGATTAGATTATTCACAGATTTAGGAGACTTTGGGGGCAATTAAGTGGTTATTAACCTTAGCCTATTGTTTCTTTTCTATGTTTCCTGTTCTGTATTATGAGTGACCTGCACTTCTTTTGATCTGTATAAATCAGATAGGATTTGAAAAAATTCTGCCGAATAAAACTAGAAACATTGCTCAAATTTTACTCACTGGTGCTGTTTTCCCTTTGTTTTCCCCTATTCAGCTCATTATTGAGGTGTAAATTTTTACTTGATTGTTCAATATTTTTATCACACTTTCCTTTTATTATCATTTTTATGTTTTAATGCTCTGATGACTGAAGTCATCACCTCCTGTCTGTGTCTGACTAAACAAACCCTAGTTCTTCCAGCCTAAGGGTACAATCCTAAAGATATCTCAAGTGTAAATTTCACACAGCTTTCTCTGGGAGTAATGATTCTTAAATTAGTGTGAATACTGCAGTACTCAAAATATTTTGATAATGGAGGCTGTAAATCCCTCGGGGAGTTTTAGAGCAGCGTGACTTGTTTTTACCTTGTTGCTCAATACCTGAGTTTCTTATAATTAAGGTTCTGGAAGAGTTTATCTATCAGCTGAAATATTTCTATCCTATCATTTCTCTAAAGCAGGGGTAGGCAACCTAAGGCCTGGTGGCTGGATGCGGCCCCCCAGAGGCCTTTGGACCGGCCCCAGGCCAGTCCTGCTGCTGTCGCCGCCCCCCACCACCGCCCCCCACCACCGCCCCCCATGATGATATTGATTATTGTTATTACTTGTTCTTGAGGTTTTCTTGGCAAAATCTCCACAGGGGTTTTGCCATGGCTTTTCTGGGGCTGAGAGTGTGTGCATGCATATATATTTTTTAAATTTTTATTTATTTATTTATTTATTTATTTATTTATTTATTTATTTATTTTTGGTGCTTCGGCCCCCCAATTGTCTGAGGAACAGCAACCCGGCCCCTGGCTCAAAAAGGTTGCCTACCCCTGCTCTAAAGAATCCAGGGCAGGGTACCATCAATATAATATAAAATGATTCAACAATACCAAAATAAAAACTAAAGAGACCAAAACACAAGTCGCATTCACTAGGCTTTAGGTAAATTGTCAGGTTTTTATCTGGTACCAAATAGAGGCCAAAGTCAATACCGGCTGGACCTCCAAGGAAGGAGATATTATTCCATGACCAAAGGCATGACAACAAAGAAGACCCTGTCCTATATTTTTTCTGCATGGTGGAATCCTGCCTCAGTAGATAATAATGGCTTTTATATAGGCAGGGCTGCAGCTGCAGGGGGTGGCAAAATGAGGCATTTGCTCCATTCAAATAAGAATTCTGCAGCCCTATGAAAATTTCTTTTTCCTCAAATTTCTAGTTTTGCAGAGAGTGACAATGAAACTTGTTTGCACCTATAACTTTTCTGTTATGGTTGCATTCACTTTATAAATTTGTTGTTGTTGTGTGCCTTCAAAACCTAGGGTTATCTTGGCAAGTTTCTTCAGAAGGGGCTTGCCATTGCCATTCTCTGAGACTGAGAGAGTATGACTTGCCCAAGGTCACCCAGTGGGGTTTACATGGCTGAGCCAAGATTTGAACCTGGGTCTCCAAAGTCAATAGTCCAATGCTCAAACCACTACACCACACTGGCTCTCACAACTTTACCTGCCCTTTTTCTTTGGATGCTTGTCAGATTGTTCACCTGCAGGCTCTGATAAAGTGAGTCAGGAGTCACTTAAAGAAAGCAGGCATCCCTGTATCAAGGTAAGTGAGAGCTAGGAGGGCCAGACTCAAAAAACTGAGAACCAGAAAAGACTATCAATGCTCTTTGAGGGGAGCCAGTGAGCAGCCTGGAGGGGGGACCTGCTCTAAAATCATAGAGTTGGAAGAGCCACAAGGGCCATCCAGTCCAACCCCCTGCCATGCAGGAATACACAATCAAAGCACCCCCAACAGATGGCCATCCAGCCTCTGTTTAAAGACCTCCAAAGAAGGAAACTCCACCACTCTCCAAGCCTCAGCCATGTTGGCCAATAGTCCCATGTTGGCCAATAGCTCCTGGAATTCTGGGAGCTGAAGTCCCTCGGCCCTTAAAGGGGAAAGGTTGCCTACTCCTGATATACATCCTTTCCCAAAATATTCTGAAGGATCACCAATACGTGGTTTTCCCTGCCACCACACCTCTGCATCCTGGATAGATGCTCCAGTTTGTAATCCCGATGACCCATCACACAGGGCATTGCCTGACCTGGCAACCTTTCTTAAATATCTCTTTTAAGAAAAAGGAGTCAGGCTAGGGGAGACTGACAGTTTTGCTAAAGCTACCTGGTATTCCTGGTAGAAATAGGATTTGAAGGTGTAATTATCATGGTCTCAACCTAGGATACTACACCAGGTTGCCTGCCTTCTGCCCAATTTGTACTCTTCTTCTTTAAATATTTTGCCTGTTATAATGCAGCTCATCTCTTATCTGTGAAATAGACAATATGTTATTTCCCACCACCAACTTACATTAAACAGCAAATGTTAGGGTACAAAGAAGCTTTGGACACCTTTTGCATAAGAAGCATTGTTTAACCCACGGTACAGGATTCTTTATTATGTACCAAAACCCAAACCAGCATTCCCTAACTTGGCCATGTATATATGCTTTGGACAACAATCTTATTGTCTCTGCTAGAATGTTGGATGGTGATGGTGGGAATTGTTTCCAACACATTTGGGCAGTGCCTGGTTAGACTGATGTTGCTGAACTAAAGCAGTGGGTTGTTGTTTTTTGTTTGTTTTTAAATCAGTCATTGTCTGAAATGTCAAAACAGCAAAGATAAAGGAAATACAACATTGCCATGAGAGGCCAGGGAGTAGCACGAGTCAACTGCAGTGAGTGGAGCTTTCCCTGAGGTTGAATGGAGCTGACAGCTGTTGATTCACTGCCATAAGTGTTGCTTTCTGATACGGTCTTAAGTATTGCTTTGTATACTGTCCCCATAGGTACAAAGCTTGAAAATAATGAGTTTATCCTTGTTTCTTCTGCCTGCAGTAGCCTACAAGTGAATTTCCTTTGGAAGAAAAAGAATGAGGCCCCAGAACATTTCAGGTTCCCCACATTTTCAATGTGGGGATTGTCATCGGTTTTCACAGGTGTGTGGCCACCCTGGCCCCAGAAAACTGATCCTTTTTTCTGTAGATAATATATTCTCCTACTGTCCCAATTTGGCCAGGGCAGTCTCAGTTAATCCTCTGTCACCCCTCTTTTTCAGCAGCTTTTGAAATGTCCCACTTTCTCTCTCCTCCTTCCATCTCCCCCCTTTGTCCTCCAGGTATTTCAGTTGCCACAAACTGAGTTCAAATGTAGTTTGTATTCAATTAACTCTGCAGGGGAGAGAAGAGAGGTGTGTGTGGAGTCTTTCTCTTCCCAGTAGTCTTTGGCAAACGCAAAATGCCGCAGCCTCTCCCAGCTTGTATCCTCTTCCTCATTAATAACTTTTGCAAACTTGATCACACTCTGATGTTACTTGGCTACATGTAGTCCACTTTTCATCTGTGAAATATGACAAACATTGAAGCTGCCAAAAGCTAGTAGTGTCTTAACTCACCTTGTGGAGCTGGAGACAGAAGTTTCAGACAGGGAGGAGGAGGACGAGGAAGCAGCAGATTGCCAGGAATCTGTGTCGAGGTCCAAGGCATGAGTAGCCTGGATTCTGAGGTGGGCTGATAGGACCAAAACTGTGGATCTAGTCTAGTAGACCAGAGGCAGGAGGTAAGAACAAACCAAGGTCTAAGCACAGCAAGACAGTGCTCCAGCAATCCAATGAGCCAGAGGTAAGAGGTTCAAAGAACAGACCAGGTCTAAGCACAGTAAAGCAGAAGCCCAGGAATCCAGTGGGCCAGAGTCAGGACACAGAGTTGGGAGACAGACCAAGGTCTAAACACAACAAAGCTAGCAAGACAAGGCAAAGCAATTACAGGCAGCAGAGAAGATTGTATTATTGTGGGAAGGGTTGAGAGGCCAATGCAGCCTTTAAATGGTAGTACCACCTGCTGTTCCAGCTGCCTGCATAAGTAGAGACAGCTGTACCAGTTGGGTTAGTCCTGATCCTTCTAGGACTCTGGCAGTTGGGCCTGGTCCTGCCAAGGCTTTGGTGGCTGAATTCCAGCAGTCAGAAGTCCAATCCTGCAACAACTTACATGAGTGGACCTTTACACCTGATGCCAAGGGTCTTTCCAAGTCCAAGGAGCAGAGGAGCTGAGTTAGAAGGGTCTGCCTGCTAGAAAGAAACTGCAGATACTAAAGGCTGTTTTCCCTCCTTTGCAGATCTATGCTGACCTGATTAGGCACCTGTGGCCTTGAGGGAGCTGCCTATAAATCTACCAGTAGTTCCCTCAAAGCTTTGTTCTGACAGTTCTGTAACAAGTCCTGGACTGGTTGACCACCACCCTTGTGCTTCTCCCTTTATTGTATTTGGATAACCTCTGACTGACCTGGACTGGATTAACTATCCAATATGTCTTGCTCGCCAATAGCCTGCTTCCTGCTGACTTGTGTACAGGACAAATAGTGCTTCAGGAAGCATCCATGATGTTTTGAATGCTCTAATTTCCTGCATCATCAAGTGTTCTGTAGAGTTATAATAATAATAATAATAATAATAATAATAATAATAAATTTTA